TTGTAAATCAGTGGCTGCCTTTTTTTAACCCACTTTCGCAGAAACAGTCCTTTTTTTCTGCTCAAGTACTCTTTACTTGTCAGCATACCATCTGTCAAGTTCGATATATATATATATATATATATATATATATATATATATAGCTGTGCTGAAATGCTTTTATTGGTGTCATCCATGTTGACGTTGAAACTACGGAGTACTATCAATAGAAACACAATATAAATAAAAAAGTGCTATCAACTTCTTTTGCCGTTGTCTTCCTGTTTTGACAGTTTCAAGTCTTACATTACACAGCTTCTTAGATTTGAAAAAAGTAAAAATTGAAATTGTTTTCAGGTTTACACCATCGAACGATACAGTACCAAGAACTGCGACGAAATCAAATACAGAAAATTTAGTGCCATCAAATGATAAAGAAGGTGGTTTATTTATTAGTTCACCTTTTTCAACTACTCAAGATGTTTTTTTATATTTCTTCTTAATCTTTCTTTTTTCTTTGCTTATTTACTGTTTGATATTTTGGTTGCTTCTGGAAGCTTTCTTTCCCTCTTTTTTGTCATCGGAAGTATCTTTTCAGGTTGGTGTAGAAATAAAAAGTACATTGAACGAGTGCCAAATGGCTTCATGTGTACAGTGTGCCGCAAAATATATGGCCGCTACAACTCAGTATCGTATCATGTTACCATATATCACCGAAACCCACCAATTAAATGTGATGAAGAAGGCTGTCAGTTCACCACTCGTGAAGCTCGTTACATACATTTTCACAAATATTACCGACATCACATAGCGCTTCCAGATAGCATTGATTTAGGTACTGCTTTTAATGAAAATCTCAGTATGTTAATCAATGATAATTGGAAACAAATTGTGCAGGCAAAAAAGACAATCTTTTTCACGATATCGGCCGCAACAACTAGTTTTTTAAGCATGTTCTGCCATTCTATTTTACTATATTTTTTGTTGATTATATTGTCATTATACATAAGGTTTATTACATTTTTTACTCGAACCAATTAAAAGTCATTATTTAGGCTCTAGAAAATGTCCGTTTTGTCGTCATGTTTCGAAGAGTCCAGCAATGTTGGAGAAGCACATCAGCCGTCACATGCCAAACTGCAGCCGTGTTGGACGGGCCTACAGCACCTGTCAGCAATATCCGACTGATATGAACCCTCAGCTGAAACTTCATGAGCATATCAGTGCGCATCAGCCAGACGTCTTTCAATGTTCCGAGTGCAGTTACAGGTTCGAAAATGTTAATCTAAATAGCACTATAATTAATTGAGCATTTTTTTACAAAAAAATTTTTTTTAGAAATTTTTTATGTTGGTAATGATATTGCAGAGGAAGGACGTTTAAAAATTTAGAACAACATAAACAGTTTAAACATAGTCGCGAAATGTTCAAAAAAATGTTGCCATGCACTGAATGCAATTTCAAATGCACGACAGAGACTAGCCTCGTTCATCATACTAAACAAATGCATAAAAATTTCAACTTTGGAAGGTTTGTCATATTTGTTTTTATGTCTTTTAGTGTTTATTAATAATTTGTAATTAACATTTTTGAAAAGTTAGAGCAATCTTTAGCTCATTTAAACAGGCTTAATTAGTTGCTTATGACTGAAATATCTCTGTTTAATTACTTGAATTTTTCAGCGACAGAAAAAATCTTTGTTTGAATTGATAGTGTAACTTTGTTATTAACAGTTAAGTGATAAGAAGTGTTGTGGCAATAATCATTTCATTAGTTTATTCACAATTTTATACGTTCAGATAGAACACTTTCTTACCATGACTATAATTTGATGAGATAGCAGCAATTTTGACACTACTTTTTGATCATTTTTTTTAGCGGTGATGAAAAAATAGAAGTGAGTTTAGAAGATGAACTAAACTTGACAGGTAGCAATCAGACGTTATGTGAATATGCTGTCAGCAGCTGCAATGTTATCGATGGTAATGAAGAGGACACCGAAGAACAGCCAATATGTTTGGTTATGCAAAACAAATAAATTCATTGTTTCTTCTAACGATTTGTGTTTTTTTTTTTTTTTTGATAAAGGACGATATTGCCCTAATTGTATCGTTTTTGCTTCTTTTCTCCTTTTATTTGCCATGCCAAATTTTTATTCTGCCTAGTTACAATTATGTAAGACATTATTATAGTCGTAATAATCATTCTATTATAATTATCATTATAATCATAAATGATCTCTGAAATTTTTTTCTAAATCAAAAAGATTTTTTTTTTTTATACTTTCACTTGTAATACTTTTAAATTTTAACTTAACTGCAGTGCTCGTATCTATCTTTCTGCCTGTTTTTTTTTTTTTACTTAGCTGATTCTCTAGAGCTTCATTATTCTGCTTACAAAGCTAGAGAATCTCCTCGTCTTACTGCTATTTAAAAAATGATACAAAGCACCTGCAAAATCATTTAGTAAGACCATTTCTTTAACTGAGAATGGTGTTTTTTTTGTTTTTGTTTTTATAGATGTTTAACTTGTAAATGAAAGTGTTCGCCAATAGAAAGCAAATTATACTGCCTTATGTTTTCTTTTCAGAAAAAAAAAAAAAAGCGCTATATATTATTTGACGATTATAGGTGGGCTTTCAAAGGAGTTTAAGTAAGTTGAAGTGGGAATAAATATTAATTAGAGATTAGATATTTGTTTTTATTTTTCTTTTTATGTTTAGTAACAACCATAGACATCTTGAAGTCGTAAGAGAAAAAAGATGATACAAAAAGCCTTGAAATTTCTTTGATATTAAAAAAACACTTATTTATGATTTGTTTTTTCTCCTCTTCATATCTTGTAGACGTAGCTTATCTGTAGTCACATTCTGTCACATAGTGTCCTTGCACTTACTTAAACTCCAAATTTTTTTCTCTTCTCGGACAGTTATAAGCAGTACTGTTGTTGCCAATTATTATTATATTTACTGTTATTATCACTGATGTTGCTCGTCCAGTGCTTTACTAACTTTTTCTGTTAGCCAGCCAGTAAATTTATATCACTTTACTCGTTTTACTCGTTAAAATACATCCAATTAATAAAAAAAAACAGTTTTCTAAAAGTGTAAAAAGCTTTAATTGATTGAGAAGCTAAAAATCTGGAAGTGTAAAAGAAAAAAGAATGGGAAATGAAATGGACGGTGAATGATATTAAAAAATGTTCTCTGACGTGATGTTATTTTGATTTAAAATAGTTTAGCTGTAAAACGACAAATTGGCGACAGAAAATCATTTTTAAATGAATGTTCTGAACGTTGCCAATGTTTTTTGTGACACTTTGATATTGAGGTGAAGAGTTACTTAGTCGAAAAATAAGGATTACAATATTAAAATTATAGTCGTTTGGTCTATCTGGTACATAGTATTGTTAAATGTTGGTAGACAGAAAATACTGACAAGTTGATCTACAGCAATGTACTTCAAAATTTTATTGCCATCGTTTTGTTACATTTGTGCAAATCGGCAGT